GGGTTTTTTTTAATTAAAAAAACTATGCCTGTAAACTTCAATGAAACAAAATCGTATTAAATAGCCTAAATATAACATCATTAGCATCAAGTTATGTAGGCTTGAGAGGCTCGATCAAAACGTGTATAGATGAGATATTTTCGCAAGGTTGATCATCATTTTTAAATCAAAATACAATGTATTATATGAAAACAAATACTTTTTGTTAGTCGTCCATCATTCCCTTTTCACGTCTAAATGAAGCATAAACACCTTGAAAAAAAAACCACTTTTACCTTGCTTAGTTTTATAATCGCCTGACATAATCATATATTATAATTATCGATTATTAGCTTTTGACGAGATCGATACGTTATATATGGACTTGGTCAGATTATATTGACCGATGACGAAGTCTGAGATTCAATATAATCTAACATGCCATATATAACGTATTGACTGAGTGAAAGTTCTTAATTTATATACATTGTATTACATATGCAAATAGTGTAATTTTGAAATTGATATTGGCTCGATGTTCCTATTTTTTGGAAATTATATTGACTCGATGTTACTATTCTTAGAAACGTGGAGTCAATATCATTTATAAAAAGGAACGTCGAGTCAATATGTCAAATTAGTGAAGAAAAAAAATACAAAAGATATATTGGGAAACACGTGACCAAATATACCAATGAGAAACAAGAAACATCAGTCCATATTATGTAATATATCGTAATAAAACAGAAGATAAGAACCATAGTAAAGAAATATTAAAAAAAAATTATAAGTGTTCAGTTATGTAGTAAATTGCAAAAATTGGCAAACAAAAAAAAAAAACCATAAAAACATTTGCACTATTATTGAGTGATTTAAATGGAAATTTTACATTATAGCATTTTACAAGCTCTTGTCTTCGTGTACTATGTACATGGAATAATTTATGAAGTTGATTGATTGTTGTTTGCTTTACGTCCAGTGGCAAATACTTCATGCATTTTCATGACGAGAACACATAAATTTTAAATACAATAAGTAGGTCTTGCAATAGGAGGTCGACAGTGAGGTTCGACATGAAACTTGGAATATCACTGGAAAATAAGGATACATTGAATAAGGACAGAAATTAGCCTTGAAACAGCTGGCCACATCCGAACTCCTCAAATAATTGGTACAAGAGTTCAATCAAATATATAAAAATTGGAAAACAATTTGAGACAATTATTAACTGAAGAATAATGATTATACATCACTAAATGAAGCTGCTTAATTGATTGTTCCCTTAATGTCCAGTGGCAAATATGTCATGCATATTCACGACGAGATGCAAAGTGGATCGACCTGAAGCAAATGATAACAATTTTAGAGCGACACTTTAATAAGATAGAGCGTTGGCTAGAGGTAAAAATTTTAACGTAAGAGAATAGAAATAAAGCATGATCAAAATCGTAAGTTAAGCTCTTACTCCATGTACATAGTACACGAAGACAAGAGCTTGTAAAATGCTATAATGTAAAATTTCCATTTAAATCACTCAATAATAGTGCAAATGTTTTTATGGTTTTTTGTTTTTGTTTGCCAATTTTTGCAATTTACTACATAACTGAACACCCCCTCCCCCCCCCCCCTAAACCCCTTCCTTTTTTTTCTACACGTTAGATGAATGCCAAGGGTCTTGCACGATCGGCCCTGGCTTGCGCCTTTTTGGGCATTTAATAATTTATTTTTACCTTAAGGTAATTGATATGATTGAGTGACAAAAAAAAACATAGCATGAATAAAAAGTAAAATGAAAAATAATTCGATAGAAAAAATTAAATAAATAAATAAACATTTCCCGGTTTCGGACAGGTTTGTATTTCCACTCAAATGCCGTCTGATTAGTGATCGGAGATAATCAACCAAAAGCACTTTGATTCTCTGAAATTGTAAATTATAGTATTTCGCTGGCTGTTTTTTTTCCGATCCTATTTTGGACCCCCTGATTCTAGGAGGGCGTGTCTAATTAGTCATGCCCGATTAACTTTTAGTAAATTGAACCTCAACTTAAAGACCTACACCTACACACTAAGAAAATGAAAGTGGAGTGTGTCATTGCGGCAAAAAATATGAATGACAATTTTCTTAATGATGTGTGGACATGTGTTTGACCCACCTGCTGCAAACGTAATTATCGGTCTATGATGATAATAAGAAAGGAAGTGGCTATTTTGCCGGCTCTGATTAAAATATCCTTATTCAAACCGGCAAAATAGCCTATTTCTATAGAAATGGCTATTTTACCGGCACCAGCAATAAAGTGAATTTGTTATTTTGTAGGTTCTTTGAAAAGAGTGACATTTTATATTTTATTTACTTTGAAAGTACTATGAAAACTTATGTGCACTGTCAACATAAAATAAAATAATTACTGACTTACCAGTAGTTATTAAAATAAGAAAACAGCTAACAATATTTGAGACACATGTAATTGTTTGAGAACGTAAAATTTATCAGTCAAAGTATAAATAACTATTAACAATTTATAACAATAAAAAAACAAAATAAAAATATTGAGCATCCATTTGTTGCAATGAAATCATATCTAAACATGTAGTTGAAATTATTTCTAAAATCAGTCAGTGACAGTCTAATGCTACATATATGCAATAGAATAAAATCTCAGATTTTTTAACTGTGTGTTACAAAAAAAAAAGTTAAAAATCTCATTGCATCATAAATTTGATAAAACATTATACAATATTACAAAGTCAATCACATAGCTTAAAAAATCTAAAATGTTTCAATTAAACTTGCTTTTGGAATAATAGTTATTTATTTGAATTGCATATAAGTGTAAACAAAATAGTTTTTAACTTGGCTTCCACTTAACTAATGTCAGCAAAATAACATATTTTCTACTTTTCCAGCATGGGCAACAAATTCACTATATTGCTGTTGCCGGTAAAATAGCCATTTCTATAGAAATTGAAGGCTTGAAATAAGATATTTTAATCAGAGCCGGCAAAATAGCCACTGCCAATAAGAAAAAAATGATATTTTTTTTAACTGGACTTTTAAATTTGAACTTTGGTTGATAGTTGTTTCATTGGCAATCATACCACATCTCCTTATTTTTATATTGTAGGGTTAAGATGGGTATAGAAATATGACTTTCCTAATCCGACAGATAACCCCTTGCTTAGACAGGGTGTTCATACAGCTGGATGTGTAAATACGCAGCCTCGTAGGGTAAAAAGGGGGAATTTTGCCCATACCCAACATAGATTGTCCATTCATTTTCCAGTGGCAGTCCATATATCTAGCCCCTCCTACTTTGCAGAACCTTCATATGGTACTTATCATCCATATGTTCTCATCCGTATCATGCTTGAAATATTTGCCAGTGAACGTTCAGCAAGCACAAATTAAACTGTTATTTTTTGTGCAACTATATACAAAAGAACGTCATTTCTGGTCCTTTTATCATACTAGTAGTTGACTACGCGGTATGGGTTTTGGTCATTGCTGAAGGCCGTACGGTGACCTATAGTTGTTATCTTCTATGTAATTTGGTCTCTTGTGGAGAGTTGCATCATTGCCAATTATACCACATCTTCCTATTTTTTTTATATTTCATGGTGAAAAGTTTTATTTGAGGGTCACCTTAGACCTTGAATATCGCAGTTGCAATATATCTGAAAGACCAACGTTAACTTCATGTACCAAATTTGAAAATGGTGAGTAGACAGATTTGTTGGGATTACAACGATATTGATTTCAACCACGATAGCTGTGAACACAAAATATGGAAATACATTTTCTTAAAAAACAATGCTTACAAGGAAAAGGTGTGAACTATTAGGACTTGTTCCAATACAAACAAGAAGTATTAGGATAGATCACATATTTTTCAAGTTGTTACGACATATTCCTAGATACATCTGCATGTATGGCAGTCACACCTTTCAGCACATTTTTTTGTGTGAACAAGAGTGTACAAGCTGAAATGTCTCACCTGCTTTACTAATCATCATTGTTGATTGATTTTATGTTGATATTCCTAAGATAAAGTTTTACTACAAGTATCAGAAAAAATTAATGTTATCAATTATCAATAATCAGGAAAATGAGGCCAAGGTCAGATAAACCAAGCCAGCCTTACAGTGGCAGATCCAGAAATGTTCATAAAGGGAGGGGGGCACTGACTGCCTAAGAGGAGCCCGCTCCAGTCATGCTTCAGTGATTCCCTAGATAAGCAACCAAATTTTTCCCACAAAAAAAGGGGGGGGGCACCATGGGCCCACCCCCTAAATTCACCTCTGTTACAATCATTCCTTAAACCAAATATTTTGAAACATATAGTATGCAAGAAACAGACAAAACCATGAAAATGAGGTTAAGTTCAAATAAACCCTGCAAGACAGGCATATTTGTTTTTCATTCATTATTTTGTACATATATCAGGCCGTTAGTTTTCTCATTAGAATTGTTTTATCATTTCGAGGCCTTTTATCCGACTATGCAGTATAGGTTTTACTCATTGTTGAAGGCCATATTGTGACCTATAGTTGTTTATTTCTGTGTCATTTGGTCTCTTGTGGAGAGGTGTCTCATTTACAATCATACCACATCTTCTTATTTAATATTTCAATACATTCATTTAATAATCATTCCATGCACTAAATATAGTTGACTTATTGATTACACAATGTAGCATATTAAAAGAGGACTTACCATTGACCAATGAACCATGAAAATGTGGTCAATGACAACTGCCAGACTGACATGTACTCCTTACATGTGTGTATCATTGCATACATCATATATAGTTTATCTACTACTTTTAGTATTAGAAAAACAGACAAAAACACAAAAACTTGACATTGACAAATGACCTATTGCTAACAGTATCTGATAAACAACCCTAATCAGTTAACTTTGTTGCAATCTGTATCAATTTGAGTGCATATCTAATTTCACAAAATAATATTTATCTAATTTCAGTAATCTTAAACATTGTGATAGGTAATGAGGTTGTCAGTTAGTGAGACACAAGTTTTTCCAGACAATATATAATTCGTTTGATTGTTTTGTTTGGTTGCTGTCTCATTAAACAAAACTATATATATATTTCTCCTTTTATCTAGAAAATATAACTTTTGAAATACTACTAGTAGTTGTTGACATGTATACATCATGTACATGTACAATCATTAATTTATCAGCTCCATATTTTCATAATTTTTATATCAATATTATTCTCTTCAGTGTTTTTTTATATGACTCAATAATCTATTCATCATTGGGACATGTAGGTACAGTAGGTCCATTTGATCTTGGATTTTTTTTATGGATTTTGACAGCACTTAGCATATATTTCCAAATTATAGTTTATCTTGGCTTCTTAAGTGGATTCTGAACACATTGCATATAGACACCAAGTGTAGATGATCTTGGGTTCTCTCATATGGATTCTGACAGTACTTTGATTATACATGTAGTTCCAAGTATTGTTGATCTTGGCTTCTAATTTGTTCTTAAGTTTAAGCACTTTACATACATGTATATAGTTCCCAATTGCAAGACAAGATGATTCTGACTTCTCGTGTAAATTAGGTCGGTACTTTGCCAATAGTTTCCAAGTAAAGTTGAACATTCCATGATCTTTACAACAAATCACTACTTCCTCTTACATGTACTTGAAGCCTGAAATTAAATGTGAGAGTAATTCTGTCAGAAAATCAACCATGATTGACATTTAAATGCATAATGTAGTTCATATTTTAAAACTAGAGGCTCCAAGGAGCCTGTGTCGCTCACCTGATATTTTTGTTCACAATTGATGCATGAAATAATGCAACCTTTATACTTTTGCTTTGGTTTCAGAGATATAAGCCAAAAACTGCATTTTACCCCTATGTTCTATTTTTAGCCATGTTGGTTGGCAGGCAGGGTCATCGAACACGTTTTTTTAAACTAGATACCCTAATGATGATTATGGCCAAGTTAAGTTAAATTTGTCTCATTAGTTTCAGAGGAGAAGATTTTTATAAAAGATAGCAAAAATTTTCGAAAAATTGTTTAATATTGACTTTAAGGGCAATAACTCCTTAAGGGGTCAATTGACAATTTTGGTCATGTTGACTTATTTGTAGATCTTACTTTGCTGAACATGATGGCTGTTTACAGTTTATCACTATCTATAATAATATTCAAGATAATAACCAAAAACTGCATAATTTCCTTAAAATTACCAACTCAGGAATAGCAACCCAACAGCGCGTTGTCTGATTCATCTAAAAATTTGGAGACAGATAGATCTTAACCTAATGAACATTTTTTTACCATGTAAGATTTGCTCTAAATGTTTAGTTTCATTGATATAAGCCAGAAAATGTATTTTACCCCTATGTTCTATTTCTAGCCATGTCTGTCATGTTGAATGGCAGGCAGGGTTATCAGACACATTTTTTAAACTAGATACCCTTATGATGATTGTGGCCAAGTTTAGTTAGAATTCATTGGGCCAGGTGAGCTAAAAAATGAAGAATTTGTGGCGATCAATAATGAGCAAACAAAATAAAATTACATGCACAGCAAGTATAAATAAAGATTTTGTTTTTATATGTTTGAATACAGACTTCTCGGGTCAACCAAATTATGTTGAGGTTACTTGTACCCTGTTTGGAATGAGGGATACACAAATTTTGTATTTAAAAATACTCAGCACAAAACAATTATAAACTTTTCAACTCAATTACATGTGTTATTTGGTAAACTAGATAAGCCCTACAATGCATGTTTAAACCTGAATTTCCTGATACTTGCCCTTAAGAAATTTTTTTATACCAAAGAGAGAGAGAGAGAGAGAGAGAGAGAGAGGGGGGGGGGGCGGTTATTGTAAACAAATTATGATCAAGACGAATCCATCAATATAATGTATTGCCTCGTACTGTAGGGGTAAAAATTTATAAAATTAGGCCATTTATATTCCCAAGAAAACAAATAAAACAATCAAACTCTTGAGGAGGTGGACAGGGGTAAGGGAACATTGGAATGAGGGATCAGGAAGAGGGAGTCATGGGCGGGAAAAGAGGGTATTGGGTCTGTTAGCTTGGTCTCAAGTGAAAATAAAAGTAACTAGTTTGGTAGAAGCTGAGGGTAGAAGCAAATCTTATGAAGATATAAATAGAAAAGACCAGATAATTGTTTTAACAGCCTGTGCCCTTTGATCTTGTGTGTGTCACTTTATTTTTAAACAATAAAATAAATTTAATATTTTATCATATGTTATAGAACTATACTAACTTAAGCACGATTAAAACTAGAGGCTCTACGCTCACCTTGGTATATGTGCATATTAAACAAAGGACACAGATGGATTCATGACAAAATTGTGTTTTGGTGATGGTGATGTGTTTGTAGATCTTACTTTACTGAACATTCTTGCTGCTTACAATTATCTCTATCTATAATGAACTTGGCCCAGTAGTTACAGTGGAAAATATTTTGTAAAAAATTACAAAAATTTACAAAATTTATGAAAATTGTAAAAAATTGACTATAAAGGGCAATAACTCCTTAAGGGGTCAATTGACAATTTTGGTCATGTTGACTTATTTGTAGATCTTACTTTGCTGTACATTATTGCTGTTTACAGTTTATCTCTATCTATAATAATATTCAAGATAATAACCAAAAGCTGCAAAATTTCCTTAAAATTACCAATTCAGGGGCAGCAACCCAACAACGTTTGCCTGATTGGTCTGAAAATTTCAGGGCAGATAGATCTTGACATAATGAACAATTTTATCCTGTCAGATTTGCTCTAAATGCTTTGGTTTCAGAGACATGAGACAAGAACTGCATTTTACCCTATTTACTATTTTTTAGCCATGTCGGCCATATTGGTTCGCGGGCTGGGTCATCGGACACATTTTTTAAACTAGATACCCTAATGATGATTGTGGACAAGTTTGGTTAAATTTGTCTTAGTAGTTTCATCAGAGAAGATTTTTGTAAAAGATTACAAAAATTTACGAAAAATGGTTAAAAATTGACTATAAAGGGCAATAACTCCTTAAGGGGTCAATTGACCATTTTGGTCAAGTTGACTTAAATGTAGATCTTACTTTGCTGAACATTATTGCTGTTACAGATTATCTCTATCTATAATAACATTCAAGATAATAACCAAAAACGGCAAAATTTCCTTAAAATTACCAATTCAGGGGCAGCAACCCAACAACGTGTTGCCTGATTGGTCTGAAAATTTCAGGACAGATAGATCTTGACCTGATAAACAATTTTACCCCCATGTCAGATTTGCTCTAAATGCTTTGGTTTCAGAGATATGAGCCAAAAACTGCATTTTACCCTATGTACTATTTTTTAGCCATGTCGGCCATCTTGGTTCGCGGGTGGGGTCAACGGACACATTTTTTAAACTAGATACCCTAATGATGATTGTGGACAAGTTTGGTTAAATTTGTCTTAGTAGTTTCATCAGAGAAGATTTTTGTAAAAGATTACAAAAATTTACGAAAAATGGTTAAAAATTGACTATAAAGGGCAATAACTCCTTAAGGGGTCAACTGACCATTTTGGTCAAGTTGACTTAATTGTAGATCTTACTTTGCTGAACATTATTGCTGTTTACAGTTTATCTCTATCTATAATAATAAGATAATAACCAAAAACGGCAAAATTTCCTTAAAATTACCAATTCAGGGGCAGCAACCCAACAACGGGTTGTCAGATTCATCTGAAAATTTCAGGGCAGATAGATCTTGACCTGATTAATAATTTTGCCCCGTCAGATTTGCTCTAAATGCTTTGGTTTCAGAGATATAAGCCAAAATCTACATTTTACCCCTATGTTCTATTTTTAGCCATGGCGGCCATCTTGGTTAATTGGCCGAGTCACCGGACACATTTTTTAAACTATATACCCCAATGATGATTGTGGTCAAGTTTGGTTTAATTTGGCTTAGTAGTTTCAGAGGAGAAGATTTTTGTAAAAGTTAACGACGACGGACGACGACGACGGACGACGACGGACGACGGACGCCAAGTGATGAGAAAAGCTCACTTGGCCCTTTGGGCCAGGTGAGCTAAAAAAGGAAGTGTGCAAACAGACCAAGGGTGCGAACATGTGGGGTGCGAATGTAAAAGGGGGTGAACGTGAATGCGAGCTAACATGATTTTGGGTGAAAGGACCAGAATTCGAAAAGAGCGGGGATGAATATTCTGGCAATTATATTTGGCCAGTTTTTTGTCTGGGAGCAAGGAGGATGGAAGTGGAAGTAGGGGGAAAATATTTTAGAGTAAAAGGGAAGGGAAATGGGAGTTGGGGATAGGGAGTGGGAATCATGGACCCCTGTACGAGGGCAGTTATGGGGTACCCCACATTAGACGTTAACGATAAATATTTCTCGATTTGACCCTAACGTAGCTACGAAATTAGATTTAACAAATGACGATTAAAAATCAAGATTCATTTGAGCATTACGGTAGCGCAAAAAGGACATTTGTGATGCTTGGCAGTAAAGGGCATTCCTACCCTGTCCATCCCCTCGATATTTTTCCCAACAGGCTATACATGTTCACAACTTGCCAGTTAAGGATCAAATAAACACATAAATAAGATACCAGCCATAACGATTATACATAGAACAGAAATTTAGCCATTCAAGGTTTCAGGTAGACCGAATTCTTCTGTCCCTATAATGCATATATTTCTTAATTTCCATTTGCTTTTTATTGATTTTGCTATTTACTATATATTTTTTTTGCCAATATAGAGACAGAAAGCAGTGTCCATTAAAAACAGGAGATTCGCATACAATTTTTTTGCGCTCGGTTTTCGCTGATTTTATACATTTTTCAGCCATCTGTACCAATATACACTAATAGATAAATGATTTTTCTATATTTTCATGTGCCTTACAATAATCAACGACCTTTCTGAGTCTAGATAATCCACTTTTTTTAACATTTATTACATTCTACTTTCATTCACGGCATGCTAATAAAAAGTGGAGTTTCTAGACTCAGAAAGATCATTGTTCATAGTTAGGCACATGAAAATATAGAAAAACCATTTAATCTATTAGTGTATATACATGTAGGTACGGATGGCTGAAAAATGCATAAAATCAGCAAAAATCGAGCGCAAACAAATTGTATGCGAATCTCCTGTTTTGAATGGACACTGCTTTCTGTCTCTATATTGCAACAAAAAAAAAAAAAAAACAAAAAAAAATAGTAAATAGCAAAATCAATAAAAAGCAAATGGAAATTAGGATATATATGCATTATAGGGACAGAAGGATTCGGTCTAGGTTTCAGGCGCAGAGATTTTCTACAGTAGCGAGTATTTTGAGACAACCCCCCCACTTTGTATTTTTCGTGATACTAATAACATTTGCCTGCCTAAAATATTAAAATCTATGTTTTCTTATGTAATGACTCTACCTGCATCGTTGTCTATTCGCCACTTTGTCTGTTATTCATGTACATGGTTGTATTCATCAGTGGTGTATGCTGGTCAACAATGGCGACCCTTAAATTTCTGTTGTCTGATTATGGCGCCAATTTAGAGGGAAACAACTCGCGCCAGACACAATTACTGTATTTCCCCAAAATAATCAAAATTTCGTTTTTTTTTATAACAAACAGTTATATGTTAATCACATTTATATTTAGCTATCGTCCATTGATTTAATTGCAAACATTATTTTATTAAAGCCATCTCTAAAGAATTCACAACGAAGTAATTATTGGAGTGCATTGAAATCAGACCTCATGGGGTAGAGGGGTTAAACAAAAGTCCGTAACTTTTTTAAAAGCCTGGTGACCCCCATTTTATTTTACCTTAAAATGCTCGAAAAATTCATAGCTTTGACATATCCGTTTTTAAAAAAAAAATCTACCGGGGAAATTTTACGAAAAATTGATTTAACCAATATTTTTAGCCTTAAACTGAAATTAGAAAATGCAAAATTTAGACATATATCTGTAAATAAATGGACTTTTAGGTCTAAAACAACCAAGGGAAACGTTTACATTTCAAATTTTAACGTTTTTTTCACATAATAATCATATTGACATGGTTCTAAAAGTCTTTGAATTTGATGTAGCCGTTACTGTTGAAAGGGTAGAAATGTTTGGAAATAGGGTCAAAATTGCACAATTCGCTTCGATTTGAGGGGAAAACGAGCCTGGTGACCCCCTTTTTTCTTTGCATATTTGGATTCAGCATAAAAAGATCTACAAAACATGTGAAAATAAAAAAATTCTACCGGGGGTTCTTATTGGGGTGAGCCACCTTAACTGTATATTTATTTGGTTGAGAATATAAAATAATAAGGAAATAATAAGTAAAACTACTTTTTTGCGTAAAAAACGTTGGGATAGTTGTTCGGTTGTATGAATGAAGTCGCGTGCATTTCATTGATAAATTGACGCGATTGGACTTGAGCACGTGACTTTGCTGCACTGATACATGACGTCATTGCCTAATATTTTCGATTTTCATGTCCTGTCCATGATCTTAAAAATATAAGGCAGTAAGATGAAAGGGAAAATGTACAAATTGCCGATAAACACATTTATTTTACAACTGATGAGAAGAACAGTAGATGGAAATTAGATATGATCTGTATGAAGATAAAAAAATGGTGTATGTTTGCTTCTTTACCTTAAGGATGTTCGATACTCATGTTTCTGACTTTTTTGTAAGATATTCGGATTTCCTTAGTTTTTTCCATGTAATGCCAATAAAAAAATGTTCCCGCTAACCCCTACTTTTCTGTTCATAATTTTAATACATATAGTTTGACAAGCCATTTATTAAAATCTTATAAAATCCTTGTTATTTTTTTTATAGTTTTTGACAGAAAAAAGGTGCCAATGTTAACTGTATGAAAAAGAGAGAATCATTTCCCGTCACATTTTCAAATGATTATATCTCGAAAACAAGGTCGTGGACCTATAATTTTTTTCTGCTTTTTAATTTCTGTTATTTATATACTATCAATTTTTAACAGTCATTTAAAAAGCTTGTTATTTTTAAATAGGGGAGTAAAAATCCTTAATTAAACTTTGTCAACAAATACCTATGTAGCTTAAGCTAAACGGACTGTCAATTGTCACTTGGTCATGTTTTGCAAACAATACTTAGTGCTCATATGCTCCTATTCTCGCTGACGTTTATTTCTTTGTATGAGAAACAACACGTACATGGGATTCTTAAAATAAGACTTGTAAACAAGCTAGAATTCTCATTTAACTCCACGTTCCGTTGCATAGTTGATATGTTTCACTGAATAATTCAAAAGTTTTTGAAGATCAGGTATATTCAATTTAACATCAAAAACAGGACAAACAGATACAGTTAGCTTTGCTTTACTGAAATTGAGTAATGAACATCTTTCCTTTTTCAATAACTATTTTTTTCTGTAATGAACCAACGACAAATACATGTACCACTAGTGGAGAAGTAAATGGTTACCATTCCGGAAGGACCAGAGGCAACTCCCGGTATATGTTTTTAATTTGGTTTATGCTGCTCAATGTCTAGTTTTCCGTTCAGTGTAATATACACGTTTGTCGGTCTATATTGTCTTTTTTTCTTTTGACCATGGCGTTGTTTGCTTTTCTTTGACCTGTAATTTACAATTTCCCCCTTGGTATTTTCTTCGTTTTTACGGGTTGAATATAGTAAGGGTTGTAAACATGTCTGCAAGTAACCAATGAATTAGCGATAATGTCAGTCTATATCCACTTACCTTATGCACCCAACAACCTCTGAGTATGTTTTCTCTTTCCACAACAATTTCCTGATTTTAAGACTAACATGGTCCGTTTTATTCGTTGTTCGTCTATAAACATAAGTAAATTGTGATACACTAGTCATTTTGGGGCCCTTTATAGCTTGCTGTTCGGTGTGAGCCAAGGCCGTACTTTGACCTATAATTTTTTACTTTTTACACATTGTGACTTGGATGGAGAGTTGTCTCATTGGCACTCATGCCACATCTTCTTATTTATAAGTAGATTTATACCTGAAGAAAAGAAGCAGACATATATATATGAATATAACTAATTGTTATTCCATGTTGAATTGATCTTGTGAACATAAAAAGTACTGTTCATCACTTTTCAATATCATTCATCACTCATGGTACAAATCTTCCATTTACCAAACCACGACAAAGATGCCTATAACCAAGGGGGCCTCTTGAACTCCAATATAAACACATAACACTAGAATGTAATATTCAATTAGTTAACATTATTATGAGATATTTCATCAAAGCACAATAAAGTGAGAAATTACCAAAGGCGACCCTTGAACTCCAACACAAACACAAAACATTAAAAATTCAATGTATATTCAAGTAGCTATCATTGTAAGCCGCATTTTTGACATGCTTTTTAGTAGTAAAATAGATGGTAATACTGATTTTTTTTTAAATGAGGCAGTTTATTTTGAAATTAAGAAATTGCAATTGCCGCCAATTTTATATTCAAATACTACCAAAAGTCTCAATAAGTCACTTTGCCAACATTGATTTTCGGTTTCAACTTACACGAAAAGTGTTAAAAAGAAGTTTGTTTCAGATCCCTCTGAAATGCTCCTAGGTTTAAAAGACATTTTCTCCGAATTTATGAACCTATTATTCTTACGGTGTGTATGTTTCAAACCGTGTTCGCTATGCCAATGTCCATGGCTGCAAGACAAATAAATGAATTAATCGTGACTTAATAAGTGACAGAAGTCAAGTATTGCGATCGGATCGTGAAATATCGTAAAAGTAATGAAATACATTTTAATTTCTTCTTTTAGTTTTCTAATAAAAGACTGAGCAAAAAAAAAAAAAAATAACAACAAATGTGTCTATCAAATGAAGCGGGAGGTAACAAGGAGATAGTCAAAACTAATTGGTTGGAAAAAATGATGACAAAACTATGACAAAGAACGAAAATCGACAAGAGGAAGAATAAATCAACAAAACACGCATAGAAAACTCAAGACTGTTGAAAAAAAAACGAGCCCAACCATCAACTGATGGTGAACACAGTTGATCCGTCAGGTTAAAAAGTTCCTGCTGCACATGTGGCACCAGTCGTATTGGTCATACAATTATAAATCTGGTGCAAAGTCTTACTTGCTGATGCAACAATCGCGAAAAAGAGGACGGGATTTTGGTTACGACAATTTAAACATATCTGTGGTCATCTGTAACAGAGATGTTACCATAACGATCAATCATTACGTGATGACAACCGTAAAACTATTGAAGTGAAGACATCACCTTTACCTCTTGGTTTAAAAGTTTCTTTGTAAGTTTTCAATGAAACATGATATAAAACACAAGCTCTGGAATATCGTATAAACTTGAAGATATATACTCCAAAAAAACAGGTGCTGCGCGAGTATGTTTCTACACAGAAATGGAAAATTCACAATTGGGAATCTGAAATCATGTCTTTTGTCGTAAAGTGTCTTTTCTCAACCAACTCTCATTTTCTTTTACATTCTTTCTGAGAAACTCCTGTATAGAAGTCTGTATCATACAAATAAAGGAACAAGTCAGCAAGAAGGGGATCAAAGGTGGCCCCATAGGAAGGCCGAATGAATTTTTTGCTGCAAAAATACGTCCTCCAAACGTAAAAACTATGTTTTAAATAAAATTCAAGTATCTGCAGGATGTCATTTTCAGAGTTTTTTGGTTTGAGTTTTTTTATACTAAGTATGATCTATCCCTTTCTAAAACAAGATATTTGTTTCTACGTTGACCATTCTATTTTATGTAAAATAGTTGTACTAGTTCCTAATATCTGTCTGAAAGTATAAGATGGAGTATACTAGGTTAAATGGTGGAGAAGTTAAATGGTTTTATACTATTTCAAGAGGAAAGAGATAAAGATTGTATGTACTCTAACATATCCTTGGACTTTTCTAGTATCCTCATTTGATTTAAACCGCCCATAGAATAGATCTTTTCAAAGTAACTCTGAAGCACGACTTTAATTGATTATTACAAATTGATGTCAAAAGTTTCGAAAGAGGTTTCACGAAGCACTTGGCAGACGCAGCAATACGTGTTTTTTGTGAGGACATTTTTGTATATATAGATGGAGTAGATCATGTTATTCTATGATTGAAATTCCAAAGGAACATAGAGCAGACCTATGATTGTTCAGGATTTCCTCTTTGTTAAGAATTAAAATGATTGCTATACTCAATAATTGTGCGAAATAACATAACGAAAAGAAATCGACTTTTAATGCAAATAATACCAAGTCGACACATAGTCCTTAGTGAATTAATAGTTAAAAGACATTATAAATATATTCCGACCATTTATTTGTCAGTTGGTAAAGTAGTTTTATTCGTGTTTTTTTTTTCGTCCTGGAAAAGGTTCTGATTATTTGAAAAACAGAAATATTTTGTTTAGATCAGGCAACGCATTATATTGATCGCTTTGTGCAATGGTTGACTAGACTTAAATGAAAAATAACAAAAATATCAAACTCCAAGGAAAATTCAAAACCGAGAATTCCTTATCAAATGGCAGAATCAAAAGCTCAAATACATCAAACGAATGAAAAACAACTGTCATATTCCTGACTTGCTACAGGCATTTCCTTATGTAGAAAATGGTGGATTAAACCAGGTTTTATAGCTATGAACAACTAAACCTTGCACTTGTATGACTAAATCAGCATAAAATTGACTATATTTTAATGAATTTTAGCGTTTTATCGTGGTGTTACGTCATAAGAACGACTGTTAACAAATGTTTTTTGTCGTTTTTTTAAATTTATTTTTATAGGATTGACCACTACATAGTTTTCCACAAAAACCTATCAAAATTAATATATGTAAAATATTATTTATATTTAGTTAGATATGTAAGACTAAGTGCAACGTCTTGTCTCTAATCGACGTCCGTTCCTTAAATCGACGTCCAAATCTGACGTCATAATGAAATGAAATTCTATATCGAGAGTCAATTATATGCCCCTCTCATCGACGAATTTGTGTTAGTCTCAAATCGACGTCCAATATTTGGCTTCTCTAATCGACGTCCCTTTTTACAGACTTATCACATTGACGTCAAAACTTCATTCAACGAAAACAACTTGAGAATTTTAAAGAAACTACGATTTAAACTCCCGCAGGCAAAGCTGAGCTCGAATAGGTTTGCTATTCTTTTAATGACCTTCATGGTTATTTATGCAGCTCTACGATTATTTTAACATTCTTGGCTTTTTAGGTTTTGATTTGAGGTTTTGGGGGTAGTATAAAAAAAGCTGGGAATGCAACACATATATGAAGTGTTATTTTATCATTCGGTGTAATAACTAGCGTTCTTTCCTCGAGTATTGGTTCGTTTCTGGTTTGGTCTGTAAATTTAACGACTGAGTTCTATTCCCAATCGTGGACATTCTTCCTTAGTCTCGATTCCTTTACCATTGAACACGGGGATGCTTACATAAATGGAAACCTTCACCCCATCAACACAACAGTCTATCTCCGTTTTGAGTTTGTGAGATTCAATTACGCATTTTTTCTTGGTTTTCATACTTAAAATGGAATCACCCAAAAACTGAGTCATTTTGTGTACGCCAGGCACACGCTACTGAGGAATATGATCATACCATGACTGGCTTTAGATACAGGTACAATAATATGTCTCCATACTGTCTTTAACGTCAAAATCCAATAAGCCAATTGGTCTAGTACAAATAAGGCGGGACTTGCGTGGCAAGTGACTTTTAACCACGACAAGGACACCAATAAAAGTAATAGCGATTTGTTTTCATTTACAACCTGAAGTGAACTTTTTTGTAAAAATACTATGCTGTATAATAGAAAATTATCTAATCGTCCTACATCTGATGATACATACATTTTTGCAAAGTTTAAGGTCATGTTCTCCTCAGCCTGCTTATTTATAGTTTTTAGTCCGTAGGAGGCATGATGATATATAATTTAGTTTGGAAAACATGGTATATTTACTACTTGTAATTGGACTTAAAACTAGCTTTCAGTTAAAAAAGCGAAAGCAACACATCAAAAATTTCACGCGTCTGAACCGGTGTTTTTATTTACCTTCACCAGAAACTCTCAATGCCGATTATTTGAAAGCCAAGGATTTGTGTGAACCGAATCAGTTGAAGAGCTATATGACCAAAAAGGACCTAAAAATAATAGCCAAATTCATCTTCGGCCAACTTTGCCTGGGGGAGTTGGAAAGTTAGTTTTTTAATAATTTCTGAATTTATAGACGGACATTTTTAGAAAAGCTTGTAATAAATCATGTCAGTATCGAAGTACTGACTACAGGACTGGTACTGTGAGTACTTTTGTATCGATAGTTTGTGTCTTTTTCATTCGTTTAGTTTTATTTGTGATTTTTACATTTTCAACTATAGTTTTTAGTTGTCTCTAGTGTTTTACTAGAACTTTTTTACCACGATCCCAAATTTTGGGAGGGTTAAGCGCTCAAACACATGTTAAAAGCACCAGATTATTTATATGACTGTCCCATGCCATGAATCAGGAATGCAGTGTTGGCAGCAATAATTGTTTTTTGCATAAACAATACCGTTAGTTATCTCTGTTGAATTGTTTCACGTTTTGACGTGAATCAAATGTGGATACTAACAATTCCAAAGATCTTTTAAAGTACTATTTAATACTCTTTTTTTTTGCAATAATATTTAAGCATTTGACTTTTCTACACTTTACATATATATTCCCATTCCAAACGAAAAAACAAAATGCTTTGTTTCATAAAAAAAGAATGGCCATTGTAGATACAAGTATCTTGTCTTAGGAAGGGATAAATCGTACTTTGTGAAAAATCGCTCTGATTTTATCAAAATATTCTCTGCAACTGACATTATCAAGATGAGTGATTTCGCTATATAGATCATGTCTTCTCACTAAATATTTCAAAGTTTGGTGACTTTGTTGAACGCATCTATCCCATCTAACTTGAGATAAAGCAAAAAACAGTCAAGTGTGCCTCATATCTGGATCTTACTTCTAGAAATTGACAACGAGGGTCGTTTGAAAACAAAACTTTACGACAAAAGAGATGATGTCAGTTTACTAATTGTAAAATTTCCATTTCTTTGTAGCAACATTCCAGTAGCGCCTGCATATGGAGTATATATTCCCCAGTTGATACGATATTCAAGGGCTTGCATTTTCTATCATGATTTCCTTGATAGAGGGTTGCTCACAAGAAAACTATTAAACCAAATGGTGAAGTTGAAATTATCCCTTCGTAAATTTTACGGACGCAATCAAGAATTGGTTGACCGTTATAGAATATCTGTTTCACAGATGCCGACGAATGTGTTTCAATTGTCGTACCTACAATCCCGTCCTCTTTTCTCCGATAGTGATCTACCGAATTAGACTTATTACCGGGTTTGTACTTACATAAGCAACACGGCGGGTTTCCTTCCGGAGCAAATGAGATCACCCCCGGTTTTTGGCGGGGTTCGTGTTGCTCAGTCTTTAGTTTTCTTTGTTGTGTTTTGTGTACAGTTGTTTGTCGTTTGGTCTTTTTCTGTTTTTTTCCATGGCGTTTTCTGTTTATTTTCGACTTATGAGATTTAATGTCCCTTTGGTATCTTTCCCCGTCATTGACATCCCAGAGATTTTTGTAGCTATGTATACGATATAGTTGTGCTCATTGAATGTCGTATGTTGACTTATAGTTATTCATTTCCTAAAATTTTCCTAAGTACTTATAAAAACAGACGAAAATAGAACTCATGAATAAAATCTGACTAACTTTTAGTTCTGGACAAAAGAACAAGAGATCACTTAAGATAGAGAAATCTTTTTCTTAGATTAACAAATGACTTTAATTAAATAATTTTTGTAAATTCCTAAAACTTTTATGTACCTGTTTTATTATAAATGGCTTATTTTATCAGCTCTTCAACGATTTTATTAAGTCTTGAATTCTCAAATATTTTGACCTCGTGAATCACTGGCGATACATTAACTGTTAATATACGCATCTGGGGCAGTAACATTGGTACCGTTAATGTTATAACTACCAAAGGGGCTGATAACTTGGCTGGTGGACTCTTTGATCCCGAGGATATCACCAGCCCAGTAGCCAGCACTTTTATACTGGCATGCAAATATGGACATTGTTAGATTGAAATTTGCTGTTACAGAACTTTGTACATCGTTTCAATAACATTAACGTACCAATTTTTCTTCACCAAAAGTTAGGGAATAAATCTTCCTCAGTAAAGGTTTGTTCCTCGTCAGGATTTGGCTTTACTTTAGGTCCTTTCATTATTTAATCAGGTCCTCAACGTGTTTTTATGTTTTATTTTCAAAAATAGAATTTATGAAATATACAAAAATGATTAAAAAGAAGTCTTTTGTTAATCAAAGAAAACATTAATGCCAAACCTAAATTGACCTTTTATCCTTAATTTTGACTTTCTGTCTTACCTTCTATTTGATATACTAATCCATAAAGAGCATAAGGTCTAATACGGTTCGAGTTTAACATGTTCAAGAGATAGCATATGTTCATTGTACCTTAATTAAGAGTTATGTAAGTTGATGTGTATTTGTATTCAATTTATTTAGCAAAAGTGTATATATATATATTTAATGTTTTTATAACTTCACAGACAGGTTGTCACCTTCATTTCTCTTACTCTTTTGTAATTAGGTGTGAATGGGGTCAAACAAGGCAATTTGTTTAATGAAATAAGGTATTGTCACACTCTGCTATGTTGGATGATTTATGACTTGAAATTCGTCAGTTGTTAAATTTAAACGACTTAGTAACGTCTTACTCCGAAAAAAAGGTCCATTAGCTGTCAAATTCATGTTCACCGATTCAAGTCAATTTCTCATATTTGTTTTATAAAACATACTAAAAGGTTTACCCAAATTATAAAAAGTATAAAATAAACAATTTACGATGCACGTACTATATGTATCAGCATTTCGTCTGTATTTTAGTTTAGACGCCATCTAATTAACAATCGAGGTGACCTCCGAATTAAGAACACCGACGGTAATATAACCCGATATTAACATAAATATAGGTATAAAAAGATTGCGAACGCGTGCAATTGGATTTTCTAGGTCTGTTTGATTTCATATTATTGGTTAAAAAAATATGTTAATCATCGTTTTTACCTGTATAAGAATGAGTTTTTTGTGGATCGACTTAGTCAACTAAACGGTTTACCCTTGTTTCACTTTCAATGTTGACATTCTTTTCCTTTTAATAGCTGAACACGCCTAGTTTATGCGTAACCCAACTTTAGCTAAGGGATTAATTTGAAGGTCACATGAATACGGTTTAATTAGGTCGAATTATTCACATGCAAGTGAATAATTCATTAGCGATGTTTCTTAGCTTATTTTAACAAAATTGAACCAAACTGGCTGCTTAAAGCGAATTATTATTTCATCATATTTCATTTTTTTTATATCTCGTAGCTAATGCCCCTTTAGTCGGAATATAATGTTTAAGTCTAATCTGTTATTCCGTTATTATGAGGTCAAGTAGTGAAAGTCGGCAGTAACCAGCAAATGCGGCAAAAAGTCTGAATACTTTGAAATCAATCTGCGATCAAGTGTGGATTTATACGATGTCTTTTGAGAAATCAGATGTGATTTGCATACATAATACACAGAAAATGCAAATGTATTGCTTCTCAAACATAGAAAAAACAATGATTCTTAAACTCAAGTCGCGACTACTTCGATTTGCATATGAATGTTGTGTTCAAACAGCCTGGTGCATCTTTTTTATAGGCGAAGATCCAGATACGGAACCAGTCCCTGTTGATTTAAAAGTCTCCTTTTTAGACATGTGTGATAAATGTGATGTAGACTCACTTTAAATATTTGGCCTGATTGCACCAAGAGAAAAAATGGCTTAAAGTATGGTGATGTCCGAGGAGCGAGGAAAGAAGTACCTTTATTGCGTAATCAACTCAAACTACAGTTTTCAATCCAGACCCATGAAACTTCAAATACACACATTTTCAATTAGAATTCCTGATATAAGAAAATTCTTTCCCAATTTTGAAACTTGGAAACTGATGTCCAATAAGGAAAACTATGTGGTAGGATTGCCACTAGCAACTTTCCACCAAAGACCAAAAATTACATGGATGTAAGATTATAGGTCACCGTACGGGCATAAAAGGCCTGACATGACAATATGTGAACCATTCAAACGAAAAACCAACGACCTATTGTATGGCAAAATAATGAACGAAGCACAAATATGGCATACAGCAACCAATAACAACCACTGAATTGCAGGCAGGTTCTTAACGGTATATGCATGGATATAATGTGACGGGGTTAAATATGCATGTATGTGGGTATTCTACCTCCCAATTGATTATTTCATTCCAGCGTCACTGGTGAGTCTTTTGTAGACAAAACACGCGTCTGGCGAACAAAATGTTAATCCTGGTATCAATGATGAGTTTATCTACATTGGACAGTGGTGTAACAACACAACATAAAAACAAAGTGTTGTTGGAAATGACTTTTGTGCGGATCAAATAAAAACTAAATACCCCTAAAGTCAAAAGATTTAAAGAACCGATCTAAAAGTACCCTCAGGTACTGAAAGCTTATTCAAAGCCAATAATAAATAAATCATGTTTTTCCAAAACTTAGATATCAATCAGTACATATCCAACGGATCTAGTGTAAAAACGTTATAAACAGTCTGAACTCTGACAAAAGAATGGAATTGTGAAAAGTAAAATCACAAAAATACTGAACTCCGAGGAAAATTCAAAAAGGAAAGTCCCCAATCAAATGGCAAAATCAAAAAAACAAACACATCAAACGAATGGATAACAACTGTCATATTCCTGACTTGGTACAGGCATTTTCTTATGAAAGTCGAAGTCATTTGTAAGTCAATATTTTCGAAATCTTTCTAGTTTTCAAACCATATCAATGTCACAGAACGATTGTAAAAGAGATAATTTCAGCTTCCCAATTGTAAACTTTCCATTTTTATGTAGCAATATTCCAGCAGCGCCTGCATATATAGTATATATATATATATTTGCAATTACGTCGACAGCGTTTCATCCAATTATGAGTAAGAATATCCCTTCAGGACCTTCCGTAACTCTTTTGCAAGTATATTTAAGTTGTGCACCTGCTAATATGGCATTCTTTGAAAATGATTTTCTCATTATAAAAACTTGAAAACTTAGCCTTCTGTCAGCACCTTTAAAAAAACGGGACCAATTTGGCGTAAACAACTCCTCCGTCGGATTTTTTTATTCAGATCCACGAAACTTCGCGGAAAGATTGCACACAAATACTCTTACAAAATTAGTTTAAGTCACAAAACGTGAATTATTTAGAAATTCAAAGTATAGGACTTGGCATTAAGGAGTAAGAGTAAAGACTGGTCAGCTCGGAGTCAGAATAATGTGTCCGTTTAGGTTGACATGTGATCCTGTGCACCGTTACCTTGTGAACTAGCACATTAATAATTCGGCTTAGCGTGTCGGTTTAGTACAAAGCAGGCTTAATATTCATATTATATTAACATGTTCTTGTAGACAGGAACAGCCACAAAATAAAAATCAGGTTTACAAGATAATGAACAAACTAATATTGTGCAACTGTAACGCAATCATAACTTCAATATGTGTGTTACTGATCATCCCTTAATAGTTCATCTTGTTGCAGATCATTCTTTGATATTTCAGTAGATTTGTAGAATTGTTACAGATCATCCTTTAATATCTCATCCTGCTTGTAAAATTGTTTCAGATCATCCTTTAATATATCATTGTGTTTGTAGAATTGTGTCAGATCGTCCGTTGATATATTATATACTTCGTAGAATTGTTTGCATATCATCCTTTGATATTTCATTATGTTTGTGGAGTTGTTTCAGATCATTCTTTGATATTTCATTATTTCTATAGAATTGTTAGAAGATCATCATTTGATATTTGTGGAGTTGTTACAGATCATTCTTTGATATTTCATTATTTCTATAGAATTGTTTGCAGATCATCCTTTGATATTTCATTATGTTTGTAGAATTGTTTCAGATCATGCTTTGATATATCGTTATGTATGTAGAATTGTTGCAGATCATTCTTTGATATTTCAATATGTTTGTAGAATCATTGCAGATCATCCTTTGATATTTCATTATGTTTGTAGAATTAATGCAGATCACCCTTTAATATCTCATCCTGCTTGTAAAATTGTTTCAGATCATCCTTTAATATATCATTTTGTTTGTAGAATTGTGTCAGATCGTCTGTTGATATCTTATATACTTCGTAGAATTGTTTGCAGATCATCCTTTGATATTTCATTATGTTTGTGGAGTTGTTTCAGATCATTCTTTGATATTTCATTATTTCTATAGAATTGTTTGCAGATCATCCTTTGATATTTCATTATGTTTGTAGAATTGTTTCAGATCATGCTTTGATATATCATTATGTATGTAGAATTGTTGCAGATCATTCTTTGATATTTCAATATGTTTGTAGAATCATTGCAGATCATCCTTTGATATTTCATTATGTTTGTAGAATTAATGCAGATCACCCTTTAATATATCATCCTGCTTGTAAAATTGTTTCAGATCATCCTTTGATATTTCATTATGTTTATGGAGTTGTTTCAGATCATTCTTTGATATTTCATTATTTCTATAGAATTGTTTGCAGATCATCCTTTGATATTTCATTATGTTTGTGGAGTTGTTTCAGATCATTCTTTGATATTTCATTATTTCTATAGAATTGTTTGCAAATCATCCTTTGATATTTCATTATGTTTGTAGAATTGTTTCAGATCATGCTTTGATATATCATTATGTATGTAGAATTGTTGCAGATCATTCTTTGATATTTCAATATGTTTGTAGAATCATTGCAGATCATCCTTTAATATTTCATTATGTTTGTAGAATTAATGCAGATCACCCTTTAATATCTCATCCTGCTTGTAAAATTGTTTCAGATCATCCTTTAATTTATCATTTTGTTTGTAGAATTGTGTCAGATCGTCTGTTGATATCTTATATACTTCGTAGAATTGTTTGCAGATCATCCTTTGATATTTCATTATGTTTGTGGAGTTGTTTCAGATCATTCTTTGATATTTCATCTAGTTTGTAGAATCATTGCAGATCATCCTTTGATATTTCATTATGTTTGTAGAATTGTTGCAGATCATCCTTTAATATCTCATCCTGCTTGTAAAATTGTTTCAGATCATCCTTTAACATATCATTGTGTTTGTAGAATTATGTTAGATCGTCCGTTGATATCTTATATACTTCGTAGAATTGCTTGCAGATCATCCTTTGATATTTCATTATGTTTGTGGAGTTGTTTCTGATCATTCTTTGATATTTCATTATTTCTATAGAATTGTTTGCAGATCATCCTTTGATATATCATTATTTATGTAGAATTGTTGCAGATAATCCTCTGATATTTCATCTAGTTTGTAGAATTATTGCAGATCATCCTTTGATATTTCATTATGTATGTAGAATTGTTGCAGATCATCCTTAGATATTTCATTATGTTTGTAGAATTGTTGCAGATCATCCTTTAATATCTCATCCTGATTGTAAAAGTGTTGCAGATCATCTATTGATATGTCATCTAGTTTCTCAAATTGTTGCATAAAATCCTTAAATACTTCATCTAATGTGTAAAATTGTTACAAACCATCCTTTAATATCTCATATAATTGTAGAATTGTTACAGATCATCCTTTAATATCTCATCTAGTTTGTAGAGTTGTTTGCAGATTATACTTTATTATTTCATCTTGTTTTCGATTTATGAGTTTGAATGTCCTTTTGGTATATTTCTCTCTTTTTTTATCAAGTGTGTAAAATTGTTTGCAGATCATTCTTTAATATCTAATCTAGTTTGCAGAATTGTTGCAGATGATTTTTAATATTTCATCATGTTAATAAACTTCAGCGTTAATTTTAACAGACACACTACGGCACTCAGACCTGTTATGACCTGATCTGACTAAGTACATTCATGTTGTGCTTCCTGTGTAATCGCATACATCTTTTCAAACCATAAAATATAGATTCAATTCTTGAATGTAAAGTATGGCGACAAATGTAACTGTTTAACTCATCCGCAGACTCTGGATCACTAGAAGAAAAAAAGTTTCATACTCCCCACCCAGTGAAAGAGTTACTTTTGTAACTATTAGGGCCCTTGAAAGAGATAACTGTCAACACGAAATAAAATACAAAAACAAATACTGGTAAATCATTATGATATTTTTTTATGAACTAGAACCCTGCAGGCACTGATCAAAACCAGATATTTCCTTCAAGCTACAAACTCTCTGTTCAAACTGAAAATTTCTATTCTGTCCTTTGTATTGAACCTATAAATAAATTGATTTGTATAACTATCATTGATATACAGCTGTTTTCTTTTCAAATAATGTGAAAAAGTTTAAGCATCACCACTATGATCTTTTATCAGATGAAATGCCATCTTGATATCACTCCATTATTCTACAAAAAAGTCTTGAGAATTGACAAATAATCCATGACGTCAATATTGACACTGTCAAATAAGCAGGGCTTTTTATAAAACTACGAGAGGCGAAAGATACCAAAGGGACATTCAAACTCTTAAGTCGAAAAAAAACTGACAACGCCATGGCTAAAAAGGAAAAGATAAACAGACAAACAATAGCGCACAAAACACAACATAGAAAACTAAAGACTCAGCAACATGAACCCCACCAAAAACTGGGGGTGATATCAGGTGCTCCGGAAGGGTAAGCAGATCCTGCTCCACATGTGGCATCCGTCGTGTTGCTCATGTTAGTACAAACCCGTTAATAAGTCTAAATCGGTAGGTCACAATCGGGGAAAAGGGGACGGGATTGTAGTTACGACATTTGTAACATATTCGCTATTATCTGTGAAACGGATATTCTATAACGGTCAATCAACTCGTGATGTCCTCCGTAAAATTTACGATGGGATGATTTCAACTTCACTACTTGGAACTCTTGGTTTAATAGCTTCCTTGTGAGCAGCAACCCTCTATCAAGGAAATCTAAAGCTTGAATAATACGTGAACACAGAAACAAGAGATATTCATAGCTCTCTCATGAAACTCATTAAACACTATTTTAAATTGCTCCAATCCTTTCATCAGTAAAATGTCTGACCGTGTACTAGTATAGTTGTTTTAAATTTCCAAATCTTCCTCGCGGGACTAAAAAGCTGCAGCAGCAATTCTGCTTGAGTTTTGGAAATATGCACACCAGAATTATGCCTGTTTGTCGACAGATTGACAAAATGATAGAAATATACAGATTAACAGCAGCTTGAAGATATCTTTAAAAAGTTAGACGGTAAAAGATTAAATCCATAATTTACTCGCGCTTATCAAAACTTATATATCCAAAGTCAGGAATTTCCTATATACGCAATTGAACAGGAAGGAGAGGCATGTGACTGTTGCACTTACCAGTGCTGGACTAGTATGGCTAATTTGGACATGGACTTATCGCTAATCCTCATACAATTATATATAATGGTCAGTTAATTATAATGAAGAAAGTTCCTATATAATGTAAGCAATATTCTGTTTTCGTAAATAATAACTTAATTTCCGATTATATATTATAGACAACAGTAGTTTGCCAATGTTCAAATCATATTAATCCATTAAGAAGACACAATTCAAAGTAACAAACAAAAACTGACGAAGTCGCCTGAACCTCAAAGGAGCGCGGCCGGGTTTGTCGACAGGGTAAGCGTCTGCTGCTGTGTATGCATCTCCCGCCATGCCAATCTTCACTGAGTCAAATTGTTACTATTTGGGATAGGAAACAGTTGTTAAATTCACAGATAAGACGACTTTTCTATCATCTAAATATCAAAGACCGCGAGAAAATGTCGTAAGTAAGTTCATACACAGACACGTGTCGGGCAACCAATTTGTGATGGTTACCCTAAAACATTTGTAGTGTCAATACCAGTTGTTTTCCTCCTTACTTTGTATAAGCACGTTTTGTTTCAGGAACACCCATCTGTTACTTAATTACGTAAAGATTGAACATGTACGAGCGTAAAGTAATTATTGAAATATGTGAACGCCATACGATGGAGCAGAAGTTATGTTACTACGGGAATGAAATATGCAAACGCCATACGATGGAGCAGAAGGTATGTTACTACGGGAATGAAATATTTAAACGCCATACGATGGAGCAGAAGGTATGTTACTACGGGAATGAAATATGCAAACGCCATACGATGGAGCAGAAGGTATGTTATTACGGGAATGAAATATGTAAACGCCATACGATGGAGCAGATGGTATGTTACTACGGGAATGAAATATGTAAACGCCATACGATGGAGCAGAATGTATGTTACTACGGGAATGAAATGTGTAAACGCTATACGATGGAGCACGTGGTATGTTACTACGGGAATGAAATATGTAAACGCCATACGATGGAGCAGAAGGTATGTTACTACGGGAATGAAATATGCAAACGCCATACGATGGAGCAGAAGGTATGTTATTACGGGAATGGAATATGTAAACGCCATACGATGGAGCAGATGGTATGTTACTACGGGAATGAAATATGTAAACGCCATACGATGGAGCAGAATGTATGTTACTACGGGAATGAAATGTGTAAACGCTATACGATGGAGCACGTGGTATGTTACTACGGGAATGAAATATGTAAACGCCATACGATGGAGCAGAAGGTATGTTACTACGGGAATGAAATATGTAAACGCCGTACGATGGAGCAGAAGGTATGTTACTACGGGAATGAAATATGTAAACGCCATACGATGGAGTAGATGGTATGTTATTACGGGAATGCAATATGTAAACGCCATACGATGGAGCAAAAGGTATGTTTCTACGGGAATGAAATATGTAAACGCCATACGATGGAGCAGAAGGTATGTTACTACGGGAATGAAATATGTAAACGCCGTACGATGGAGCAGATGGTATGATACTACGGGAATGAAATATGTAAACGCCATACGATGGAGCAGATGGTATGTTACTACGGGAATGAAATATGTAAACGCCATACGATGGAGCAGAACTTAAGGTATGTTACTACGGTAATGTGACAACTGGACATCATCACGTTTGTCATAGATTCTAGTTCAAAGTCGTCTATCCGTGTCAATATCGAGGAAAATATCAAGATATAAAGGTGTCAGACCACCAATTCACTTCCTCCAATTTAAAACGTATGTAAAAGTAGCCCTACTCTGACACAAAATAGTGCTTTTGATGTCATTATTTACTTAAAATAACCAACAAATTTGCAGAAATGAAACTTTTGGTGAAAGAGAAATATATTTAGACCATTTTGAGCCAAAATTTACTTGTCTATGAGTTTGCATTAAAAATTGAGGATCAATGCGCTCCTTAGTATACTAATTTAAGATTTCCAGAAAACCATGGGGTTATTTTTAGTAGTACTTATTTTGTGATGGGCATTTTTCTTAGAAGACTTTAAACATGGGTTGAAAATTGGCATGTATAAAGGTGATACATGTACAATTTAGGATATACCTGGTTTCTATGAAGTTAAACTTAGGGTAAAATATTTAGAAGGCTGTGAAAATTGCAAAATTTTGTTGAATAGATAGGGATTTTGAATTGGTTGTCTGACACCTTTAACGCGAAAAGCGGTGAAACCAAAAACTCAGAAAACTATTATTTTTTTTGTCTTTTCTGATTATTTGTAATGCAAGTAGCCACATTTCATCATTTTTTTGGCAAAAAAGTCTTATTTTGAAAAATAAGGGCCTTAAACCTGAAGCAGTGCTATTTTTAGCTTTTTCCACCATTACACTATGTATTCATATATAAAAATGTCCTAAATTGTTATGAATGCACAGTAAATTGTTTCTGTGGTATTAAACATTCAAACATAGGTTGTTTACTACCAAAAAAAAATTGTCATCATTAAGATTTTATGAAATTATTTGATTTTGACTCGTTATATCATTGCGTCAATCCATGTATTTGGCAGATAGCATAGCCTAATGTAAACATTGCATAGACTCACCACAATTCCATTAATTGTCTCAAATGAAAGTTTTCTACCTTAAATTTTATTGACTGATAGTGAATTAAAATAGTTTCATGGCCATAAATACACTATTGATCAATTACTGGACCATTACTGACACCTGGTGAAAAAAAAAGGGGGGGGGAGTAAATATTCCTTGACACTTCAATACCTTTGATTTTTTTACTAAACTCATTGTAAAAATTGCGGAAAGTCTTTAAAGCAGAAGGATAAACAAGGAAAAATATATCAAAGTTGATCTTGATATTGAAAGTTTATGTTCCTGTAGTCTGAAATTAAATTTTCAAGTATTTTCTATTAAAGTAACACATTACAGTCAGTTTGAATTGAGCTGTGAATTTTGCAATATAAGTCGCATTATGCTCAGATAATATTTTTTTTACTATAAATTGACCAAGGATTAAGAATAAAGCAAAACAAAAGACTTCTGATAAACTTTTTTGTCTCATTAGGTGTCAGACCACCAATTCACTCCCTCCAATTTAGAACGTATGTAAAAGTAGCCCTACTCTGACACAAAATAGTGCTTTTGATGTCATTGTTTACCTAAACTAACCAACAAATTTGCAGAAATGAAACTTTTGGTGAAAGAGAAATATATTTAAACCATTTTGAGCCAAATTTACTTGTCTATGAGTTTGCATTAAAAAATGGAGATCAATGCGCTCCATAGTATACTAATTTAAGATTTCCAGAAAACCATGGGGTTATTTTTAGTAGTACTTATTTTGTGATGGGCATTTTTTTCTTAGAAGACTTTTAACATGGGTTGAAAATTGGCATGTATAAAGGTGATACATGTACAATTCAGGATATACCTGGTTTCTATGAAGTTAAACTTAAGGTAAAATATTTAGAAAGCTGTGAAAATTGCAAAATTTGGTTGAATAGATAGGGATTTTGAATTAATGGTCTGACACCTAATGCAGACCTTCTTCTTTCGGTAGTATCCTTAATCGTATGTTTACTATGATATAGGAGATGCAAGCACTCATTAAAATGTGGGTTTTTGAGTGACAGAACATAATAAATATTACTTAGAGTGAATTAAAACACTTAGCGAGTTGATTTTTCTTTTTGTCTTTGGGAAGATTCTGAATGCATTCTGCTTAATATGCGTAAGGGTAATTATTTAACATGAAATGGATATTTTTTCGTTACTTATAACATAATTTCCGAATATGAAAAAAAAACATCTGTCAACGCAAATGAACAAAATCTATCAAATGTAACAATTATATATTGATTTAACACGACATTCGACAGATATTTATAAATATGAAATGAAGAGGTTAACAAGGGAGAAAATTTAATTCATATTGAATCTATTCTACCACACTCCTTTCCCTTAAATCGAATATTCGTGACGAAAATAAATTAGAATTTAGTACCTTTAATTCATCGTTATGGGCACTAAATGCACGTTAAAAGTTTAAACAAAGTATGTATAGTTGTACTGACATGCAAAAAGGGTCTCGTACCGATCTTTGGAGTTTAGCCAATTGCAATGGATTTATATAGTGTGTTCTTATATTGTGCTGTTACAGGTTAAGGGAGGGTTGAGCTCAAACTAACAAATTTAACCCCGCCACATTCTTTATTTGCCTATCCCAAGTCAGGAGCCTGTAGTTTAGTGGTTGGTTATGGTTCATACCTGTCATATTTGTTTTTCGTAAATTATTTTGTTATAGATAAGGTCGTTAGTTTTCTCGTTTGAATTGTTTCACATTTTTCATGTCGGGGCCTTTTATAGCCGAATATGCGATATGGGTTTTACTCATTGTTGAAGGCCGTACTGTAACCTTTAATTGCTTACATCCACTTCATGTGAACTTTGGTGGATAGTTGTCTCATTTGCAATCATACCACATCTCCTTATTTTATATAGACGATGTTCACCCTGAGGCATTTAATTATGCAAAAAATACACAGAAACACAATAGCTAATTAGCATATGCCTGTTCATCACATCTAAATAACATGGTAATCACGTTTAATGATAACATTGGATTTTACATTTAAATCATGTAAATAATAATATTTGTGTATAACGGATTTATAAACAATGAATAGATTCACGTTATTGATTGCTGTGCTCGTTTCGCAAGTATGTGAGTATATTTCATATTTTCTCTTTATGTGACGATTAAAATGAAACTTCTGTCGCTATGCACTGTCGGCATGGTTCTATGCATTCATATTCCATTTTAGTTTCCTTATTATATGCGTCTATATGAAATGTTTAAATGACATGTTGCTTTGGTTTTTATGACAATCATATTTGTATTTGTTATAATGGTGTTTGTCTTCCGATATTTTTAGTTAAGAAAATAGAACTATTTCTGTACAAACTGCCATTTTTAAATTGGTATTAAAATATGTCTAACAATTCGTGTTAACAAAATGTTGATAGCACAAAGCCGATAGGAAAAAGTAATGTTATGCGTTTCATCTTAACGACAGAGGGCGGCAAAGTTAGTGTTAATTAATGTACAAGAAATTACACACATCCAATGAAAACTCCTTAAAACAAACTCGAAACCATAGATTTCGGTAACACGAACAATATTTTTCCCGTTAGGGAAAATACATATATATATTTACATTTACGAGTTATCCATTTTAGAATATACATGTATAATAGAATATATCGACTACAATATGCCATTTATCTGGTAACGGACAATATATTACATATAACACGATTTGTACGGCCTGTCTAAATCTGATGAGCTTTTAAACCTAATGGCTTGATGCCACTGCTGGTGGACGCCCATGGCGGTATGACCAGTCAGTAGTAAGCGCTCATGTGCTGACATGAAATTAAATTGATTGTTCATAAAATATAAAATCATTAGAAACTGTAAAGGCGTTTCTACCCCTCTCTATAGATTAAACGACACAATGTTTTGGAAGTCTATGATTTCAATGCTCTCCCACTCTGTATTTGATATGGTCTTCTCATTGTTTACATTTCAGCGTCTTGTGAATAAAAATCTGTGACCACCACCTTTCCAAAAACAATATATAAATAAATACAAAAATAACAGAATATTTTTCGAGAAAAAGGATTTTTTTTAGAATATAGATGACTTGTACTTGAGAATAATTGGGAAGTTTTACTGTTCGTATTGCTAAACTCTTCAATCGTTCTGATTGTTACTGTTAACAAAGACACCAATAACTTGAATATAAACTAACCAAACCTCAATCAATCATACGGTCAAACAAATTATCTTTCACCTTTCTGAATTTCTGAATAACTAAATATACTTATATTTATAAATACATATGTGATAATATGATTGGAAGACAAAATGAAATTATCAATACCGGGGTAAATTGAATTTAGAAACTAAAATAAACTAGTAAACCATGTATCACGATGAATAAGGTTGTCTTGCGAGAGAATGTTATGGGCTGGTGATTTGGTCCTGATTTTTTATGATTAATTGAATAATAGATAAAAAGAAATATTTGAGATGTTTTGATTGTGTTTCGTATTGCTTCAAATGTGAGCAACTAAAGTATTGGCCAACATGCAGTAAGTGTAACACAAAAGTGCTCATTTCTAGAAAATCTAGTACTGAAAATGATCAACAAAAATGCTCATTGAGCTCGCTTTCTATACCCAAAATCCGCACGACAAAACAACTCTGTGAACAAAAAAATATCAATTTCCGTAAATCATTCATTTTTACAGTTTATACACGTCCTGATTCTGTGTTGTTAGGTCATGTCCTTGTACTGCTGGGTCCTGATATGGCAAGACGTAAGTCTTATTTCAGATCTAAAGCTGAAGTATCAATCGAATTGGGAAAAGAATCCTGTTCAATCGGATTTGTGACGCCTATTTTTACTTTGGGCGCATATTTGACTGTATAATTAGCGTTGTCAAATAATCGAAACTATATTTTACTTTTAAAAAAGGACATCATCTTCAGTTCTTTATCAGATGAACAAATTCTTAATTAGAATACTCGAAGATCTATTAAAGCTATTAAATTCCCTCAAATTTTATTTTCATCAACGTACGATGCTTAATGAAACATATTTTAAAAGATCTCAAAGTACATAAGTTAAAACGTCATTGAAAGCTTGCTGTTTTTACTTTGATATGTGTCTCAGCTCACCAGAGACTTCTTCGATGCAGGAATCACAGGATACGCTTTACATATCAACGAACCGATAGCGTTCACTTCGGAGTGCAACGGTTCGTTTGATTGGTCTATTATAAATGGATTTACGAGTTTAGATAATCTAACTTCTGTTGCCTTTAGTTTCCACCTTAATATATGTTCAGTTTCAGTTCAGTTTCAGTTTCTTGTATATTCCTCCATTAATTGTGGAGCACTACCCATAGGGTATAATTGTAGCAACTATATACACCTTAAAACATAAGGAAACATTTAATAATGTACAGATGACTGAATTTAGGCAATAATAATTACTAAATAATTAATATTATAATTAATTCATCGGATTGTCATCATAAAATTTTAAAAATAATATTCATATGTGCTGAGGTGTATGAACAAGTTAAGTAAGAACTGGATATATTTACAAATAAGAATTTAGAATTTAAGTGGTCTTAAATTAAATTTTCTTATAATTGTTAGTTAAAGGTGCTATACGTACATCAGAATTTTTAATGAGAAGGTTATTTTATAAGACTTATGTAAAAGGGTTTGGGTTTAGAACAATTCAACATATATACATAAGTTTTCCTTCACAGTTTAAAATTACCTTATTTCGGATCTTATCATTATTCTTTAAAGGTACTTGATATCTTAAAACTTTACAAAAAATTTAATTTAGGTCCTAATAAGTCATAAAACAGTAAGATAGTAAAGTAGGGAACTATTTTATTTTAAAAAAGTTTACTTATACTTATACTGTACTTGTGTTCAAGTTTTTTATCCTTTTTGTGCGCAGCATGTGCATCTCGTAGCACATATTTCTAGCCAGAGTTTCAATGTTTTCATACACAGTTGAGTAACAGTTTATGTCCTTGCTAGTACAGTCCATTATGAGCTGCAGTAAATTCCCTTGTTGTATGATCTTCTTGTATGTTGAGGTATCAATTTCATCCATTGTCTGTTCTATTTTTGAGCAATATTTAGATCTTATTTGCTCCAATTCCTTGCAGCGTAGAATAAAATGTTCTAGATTTTCATTTTCCTGTTCACAGATTGTACATATCGGGTTAACTTTCGGATCGAACTTAGCTCTTTTGGCTTGTAATATGTACGTTTGAGTACTTATTCTTGCTTTTATTTCTCCTGCCTTTACATCTTTACTATTGTTCTTTACGCTTTTCCAAATATTGTGTGCTTCATTTAATGGATTGTTCTGTATCTCTATGTATTTAAGTGATGTTTTTTCCATTTTTTTCATAATGACATTCATTTTTCCAGTATTCCTTGATCTTTATTCCTACTAGTCTTTTCCATTCGATTTTCCTTAGTGGTTTTTCTATGTAGTAACTACTAGATTTCAAATTGTATTTTGATAGAGTTTTTTCCACTCTGTTGATAAAGTCTTTTCCTCTTTGGTCTGAGAATGCTATTTGTCGACGCAGAATTTCACATTCTATGGGTCCTGAATTTCTAACAATATTCATGAAGAAGGTAAGTAGATTTTTGTCTAATGTGATAGCAATAGGTTCTGCTCCTACCAGGGTATAGACAGCCATATTTGCTGTATTATTTGGAAGTCCTTGAATTTGTCGGAGGATTTTTCTCTCTGCCATATCCTTTTCTTTTGCAAGTAAGTTCATCACCTCAAGTCCGTAGATGCTTCTTGGTACTGCATATGTTCTCCATAGCTTGTATGCGACCATGGGTGAGAATCCCCTTCTGACATGTAAACCGGTTCCGAGAAGGCTGTATACTGTTGCCCTGCCGGTTCTTATTCTTTCTGAGATATTTGCCCGGTTTTGCTCGTTTCTTTTGATATCTAGATGTTTGGTTTCATTGGTTATATTGATGTCATCGTCTTCGAATTGCAGTGTTGATATGTTTGAGCCTTTTGCATTGTATAAAACAGCTTCAGATTTAGTTGGATTGATTTTAACTAGATCTCTGCTTGTATGGTGCTGTACTATGTCTAATATTCCTTGTGCGTCTGCAGTACTATTTGCCAGGACAGCAATGTCATCGGCACATGTGGGTGCAGGGACTTGTATATCACCAATACATGCTCCAAGTCCACTTTTTAAAATGCTACCCAGTATGACGTTGTTGTAGCATTTATATAGCGTTGTAGATAGTTTTGCACCTTGTTGAATTCTTTAACCCTAACCCTGTTCATAAATACGCTGTCTCCAATAAATTTGACAGGATTTCCTTTTCATACATGACTGATACAAGCTGACACGTAAAGGTCTATGTGACAAATTAAATAAACCATCCACACCGAATAATAAACTAAACAAGGTCCAGGTATGACAACATGGGAAATATTCAAAAGAGAAGACAATCTTCAGATTTATACTACAAATAGAACGAGCACTAGTATGGCATACAGCAACCAACGACAATCACTGGATTGTAACAGGCACATGCATAGAAATTTAACATGTTTGCGAGCGCTCAGTCCTCACATAAACTGGGTAATACGAGTATCATCTCAACACAAGAACAAACTTAACAAAAACAGCTTGAGATGGCTTAACTCATCAAATTAGTACTGAGCACAGAAAAATATAACCACAAGACACATCAAACCTGTACTTAACACAGAATAATATAACTACAAGACACATCAAATCTGTACTGAGCACAGAAAAATATAACATCAAGACACATCAAATCTGTACCGAGCACAGATAAATAGAACCACAAGACACATCAAATCTGGACTGAGGACAGAAAAATATAACTACAGGACACATCAAATATGTACTGAGCACAGACAAATATAACCACAAGACACATCAAATCTGGACTGAGCACAGAGAAATATAATAGCAAGACACATCAAATCTGTACTGAGCACAGAAAAATATAACCACAGGTCACATCAAATCTGTACTGAGCACAGAGAAATATAACTACAAGACACATCAAATCTGTACTGAGCACAGAAAAATATAACCACAAGACA